AACAATCAAGAGAGGATTTTTTTTTCGAACCACCATACATAATTATATTCAAATAAAATGTGAATTTTTTAATTTCTATTGATTATATTATTGATAGTATTTTTAAGAAATGACTAAATCAAAAATTTGGACACATTTTGTCAAACCGGGTACTTTATCAGCTTGCTTATGAAAGGAATTGGACTACTTTTTCTTTTGTACATGATAAAAAGAGAAACAAATTGACGCCTGCATGTGTTTTAAATTGAAGCATATTTATTTAATTATGAATTAAAATGTCCAAAAAATGATAAATATGGGTATTACAATTATTGATGATAATGGGAATGCGAGAGACGAAAGTGATAAAAGTGATGACGGTGATGAAACAATTAGAATATAAATGGTGGAGAAAGCGGCGATGGTGATAATAATATTGAAAATTATGAAATTTTGGCATTTTTTCCTAGATGAAACAACACCAGAGCTTCATGAGAAATATTCTGATAATGGTGTTATTGGTCTTGTGACATCCAATTCCTTCAGTTAAATATTCACTTACCATAATGCTTTTTCCATTGCCTTTTTTCATAATGGAAGTTCTCCATCCTTTGTCCAAATCTCCCTTGGACTATTGTTTGCATAAAAAATACTCTTATCATGTATGACTAATGTATGTTCTTTTCTCCTTCATTTAAGACAGGTGGAGTTCTATTCATAGATTCTCTTTCATATGTGGCAATAAAAAATTCATTTTATCTAAAAGGACCTCTCTCCTATATTCAACTGCATCCTCTCCTTCATGACCATCAAATAAACATCTTGATGGAGTTTTTTGATGTTTATAACCCAAAATTCTTATATTATTATTTCAATCTTTAATTCGAATTAAAAAAATTTATTCGAATTAAAAATTTTATTCGTTTTATTCATTTTATTCGTTTTATCCGTTTTATGCATTTTGTTCGTTTTATCCGTTTTATTCAAATTACTAGTTTATTTATTTATAAAATATAGGTCTCATTTCTTTAACAAGATAATATAAACAATAATTATATTTATAATCTATATTACTACTACAATTGCTAGTACTATGACTTAAGGAAAATGTCGGCTACTACTATTTATTATTATCACTATATTCAAGACTAAGGAAAAATAGATTGATAAAGAAAAAAAAATTTTAATTGGATTGGATCATTCGAATTATTATTAATTTTATTATTATTATTATCGTTCGTTTTATTCGAAATTGCTAGTTTTATTCGAATAAAACTTTCAATGTAATTCGAATACTCAAATTCATAACGAATAATTAGAATAATTAGAATAAACCTTATTCGAATAGAAACCCTAAACCAATGTTCTGCAGTACCTGAGCCAATTAAAGTCTTTGCCTCAACTTCAGCAAGAAGAGGTTCTTAAACATAATAGGTGTGATTTTGCCATTGTTAGTTCCAAATTGATGTTAAAAGTCCAAATAATGTCAAAATGCCTTAACATTTTATAAATTTTTCTGCAGCATCTTCATCATCAATAATTCGAATTGTTGGCCTTTATGTGACTCTGGAATAATTTCTGTTTGAAGCCAAATAATTGCCCATTATCTAATACTTTTTTTTGTATTTAGTGTTGGAAAACAATTTTTGCTGCTTCTTTAATAGCCTCCATCTTTCCATTTCCATTATTATCTATCTAACCTTTTCAAATATTCACATATTGCTCTTATTTGATTATATTCAGTAATGCTCGTTTCTTTTGAATCATTAGCAATTGGTTATAAAGAGCATTTAATTTTTGTTCTATGGAATCCTCATTTAACTCATCATCTTCTTCATTATCAAGGACAATTATTGAACCAACTCATTTCCTAATTTGTGTGTACCAGCTGCAACTTTGATGAATGATCATATTTATCAGTCATAAATGGATCTTCCACCTCCCCGTTATTTTTCTTATTTCTAATGGAGCTTTGATCAATTTATTTTTTTGTTCTTGTTTTTCCAAGTTCAATTGATCTTCTTCTTTACTATCACCATTATTACCCCAGTAATCTCTTTCATCATTTAATTGATAAACAAATTAAATGGTATGCATTTCATTGGATTCTGTAATTTGTATCATATAAACATAGAAGGATTCTTAAGCTCAAAAGTTCCCTGATATAGGTAAAGCTGTGGATGTGGTTTTGAAATTCGTCACATTGAAGAAATGCTTCCATTTGCCCTAATTCACCACCATCCCAGGGTCATTCCACAATTTATTCCAGACATTTGTTTCAAAAAAAATTTTCATTTCAAAAACGGGCACATAAATTTATTTTGAAATAAATTCGTTTAGAAATTAGAAATGTTTACATGATATTACACTGCCATTGATGCGAAATTATATTTTACATCAAGAAAAGTAATGTTGAAAAAAGGATGCCAAAAATGTTGACAAATTGAAAAAATTATTGGTAGTGCAGGTAGATGTCTTTGGCCATCATCAATGTGTAGAAGATCTGAGAAAGTCTGTACACACCTATTTCTTCTTGAAAAAGGGATGCAATTCTCAAATTCGTGTTTTTGACTCGTCCAGGATTTTGCGAATGCCATAAGAACTTCTAAAAATCAAGTTGTTTCAGATTGGATGTTTCTCACAGTTCATGTTTCTGGTGGCCAGTATCTGGTTCTGATTTTGAAAATTTCTTCTTTTCTTGAGCATCAAGTATGATCAATGCGGCCAGAACCTAGCTATATATTGAAGGCTGTAGTTCTAGGTGTTTTTTAATGTACTCATAATGCCTTTTCCCATGGGGAAAACATCAAAGCTTCCAGATCAGAGCCTCCAAATAAGATCAGGAGTTTGCAATCAATCTACTGTAGTTTGTGTCATTGTTGTGTATTTCTGGAGGAAGGAATCATTTGGGACAACCAAATCTGGAGAATGGGGAACCTCTTCTGGAAGTTGACTGCGATAGTGGTTCAAAAAGTTGAAATGATTTAGATATTGGCTTTTTATTTAATAATATAGATCTAATTTTTATTATATTAAATGATTCAGATACGTGTATTAAATTTAAAATTTTTAATATATTTTTATTTAATATGTTAATAAATTATTTATATATTATATGTATATATTACATGATATATTGATAAGTCATCACTTCAACTCGTCAATTAAAATTACATTTATTTTCTTCTCAAAAAATCATTATTTTAATGTTGCGTATTTGACATCCAAATTTCAAAATAATAAAAAAAATCCAAGGGTATGATAATTGTGAGAAGTTATTACCTTATATAATATCATTATTAAATATAATTTCATTTCTCAAAATATAGAAATATAGTAGCCAATAAATAAAAAAAATAATAAATAATTTAATATGTAATAAAATGACAAGTTTCAACTTATTCAAGTAATCCATCTGGTATACCTAATTCAATTTGTTTAGAATCTACAAAATATTTGTCACAAGAGTGGATATTAATAAATATTGTTGATTTTAAAAATTAATAAAATGAAAATAATCAATGCTTGAATGTTAGTAATTACCATTATTATTACCAATAATTGTTGTTACTTTATTGGAATTAACAGGTCGAGGAAAGTTTGTAAATTTTAATAATCTGCTAGTATAAATTGCATTTGGATGAATTGTTACAGTAATTGTTGAAGGATCAAATTTTATTTCATCCATTTCATCAAACTCTTTTCTAATTGACTTTAATTCATCCTGCTGTTCTTTTGAATATCCAATATCTTCAAGATTATCCATTGTAAAATCATCAAGTGAATTGAACCAAATTTTAATCATCTTATAAATTTCTTCGGCAGTTGGATGTTTATCTGGATTAGCATCTATGCTAGTTCAATATAGAATTTTGGTGTATTGTTTGAGAAACCAGGTCTTGCACCTTTACATATTTTCATTGCAAGA